GCAAGGACAACTTTACAATTCCCTAAAACTTCCAAGTATGTTGTATCAGAATGTTATCGCTACGTTGTCGATGTCAAGAGTGTCAACATTCTCTCAATGTTGATAGCTAATGTTCCAATGACATTAGTAGAAGTGTCGCAGCAACATTCCAAGTGGAAACATTGCTTCAATGTTTTTTCAATGTTGTTCAGCAACTTGCAATATAGAGCAACATAGGCAATATTTCGGAAACGTTACAACAACATACTGTGTTACTTGGGTACTGAGAGAAGGAGTAAAAAAAATGTTAGTCTTGATGCATTCCCTGGGGGAATATTTTTGAGGGGCGATGCTATAAAAAAAATTGTCACATCGAATTGGATAGAAATGGAAAGGTATACACATATTATTACGCTTATAAGTGACATGATAATAAGTTGAGGGAGTGTTCAGCTTTTATGGGGGCATCCCCTCCGGGCATGGCTTTTGAGTGGGTGGGCTATTCCAAAAATGATTTATTACCAGATGAAAGGGCAAATGTGTAAGATTAAAACTTTCTGGGCATGTAGTTCACTGAGGGTAAAAATGGTACTTTTCTGTTAAAACGCCTGAGGGCACATATTTTGCAAACGGCGTATTTTCCCCAATTTTATGATCCAGCAAAACGGAGGACGCAAGAATGTTTAAACTTGGCAAATAATTACCTGATGGATAGCAGATAAAGAAAGAATGATATTTTTATTATATGGGGTGGCCTAAAAGTTTTCGGTCCAATTTGTAAATTCCAATATTTTGAAAACTATGAATGCTAGCAAGGCGAAAATGTTGCTAAATTAAAGGTCAATTCAAGCTCTTTCAAATAGTATCAGGTTTCCCAGATATGGGCGCCATTGCATGGCCGCCACAGCCGTTTGAAAAAAAAAGTTTTAAAAAAGTTACAAAAATGCAATTTCAACGCTGCAGCTACTGGCGGGTATCTGTGGGAAGGCGAGAAAACACGATTGGCGGCTGGTTGCTTTTATTCATGCTCATTAAGCATCTCCTCATATTCCTATGTTTATCCATTTGCCATTTTCGCGCCCAAACTGGATTGACAAGTGAGTGTGTTAGTAATAAGGGATAACCTGCGTCCGGAGACATGCTTGATGTTCAGACCATCTGTGTTGATCTGTTGGTTTAACGCCGATATGGATTTTTCCGGTGCGCTTGCCTACGGTATTGTGTTCAATTGATGTGCTCAATGTGAATTTTTTTCGTTGTGTTGAAATGTTAAAATCTTTTTTCCCCCCAGGGGCTAAAAATGAGTGTCAATCGCGGGTTATCGGAAAGTGATGAAAACATCATTCTTTCACTTTGCGAGTAAAGAGAACTTTCGTTGAACCAGATTCTCCAAGAATTTCCATCCCAAAATTGAAAGAATTCAACTATCATTTAGTTTTTTTTTTTAAACCCAGTGAAATTGGAAGTGAAGCTCGTCCTCCCGTAACAGGTCGTCCAAAAACAGCATGAACAACAGAAAATATTGAAAGTGTTCGTAAATTGATACTGAGCCAAGAAGGGAATCCTGGCACAGCAGAAGTGAACGAGAAGTGTCGAAAGCACCGAGGATTTTACGGTCATCAAACAGATGAACGTGAAATCCCCCTTAGATCATCAGACAGAGAATCAAACACGACCAGAACCTGAAAATTTTCAAAGCGAGTTCTTGTCCATGAGCTGAAGCAGAAACTCACATATGAGAAGCTGAAACTTAACAAGAACATGAATGCTGACACACTGATCTCAAATGTCAAATTTCTAAAATATTTTTGGTGGGAATTTTTATTGGGGACGTAAAGTTTTCAATGAATTATTCATATACTAGTGAATCGGGCAGAAATTGAAAAGTAGCAGCTGGCGCACGCATAACGGACGTGATGTTGATTCAAGGAAAACTTCATATTTTGGTGCGCGTCTCCTCAGGACACAGATTTGGGTGGGTCGCTTTTGCAAATACATTTTTTTTCCTCCAGCAAAAAAAAAGAATCATAAAAGGTTGAAACTGGGCGGCATGGAGTTCCTTTACTATACATTTCAGAAGAAATAAAATCTTCGTTAAAACCCATAAGGGCACCTTTTTTGAGTCCCATTTACCTGAATATTTTTTCATCCAAAGAAACATACAGATATTGTAAACTTCCTCTGAAGTACCTGTTTGATTGCTGAGCAAAGGAAAAATCCTTCATTTGAAATATGTGCCCTAAGGGTAAATTATGAAATGGAAGTATTTCTAAATGTAATATCCACCCATACAAAAAGGGACACATGAAAAGATTTCAAGTTAGGCACACTAGAAGTAATAGAAGTAATGATTTTGATAAAAAATCAAGACTTTCGTTCCCATATGTCACGTAATTCAATAAGGAAGTACTTTATATACGTGTTTCCCATTTTGCAAAAAATGAATGAACTAATCACTGAGCAAGGTAATGGAGCGCCGAAGGTGCGACCACAGCGAGTTTGTTTCCCCTTCGGGTAAACAAACTTTAGTTTAATAATATCTGTTGACGCATGCCAGATGGACGTTGCTGTCGTACTTAGAAACAAGTGATTTCAGTCTATGTCCGTCTTTTAAACGGAAAGATGATTTAACCTCTAGTAATGTCTTTATAGGTCGAAGCAAACCTTAGTCTTATCTGTTGACATTCCCTGCTAGAGAGTAGCCCTATGCACATGTACTCTTATCTTTATGGAACAAGTCTTACATACCATTCCTGATTTTCCTGAGGGTGAGAATGCATAGGCGGGAGGGAGAAAGAAACTCCTCGACTCCCTCCCCATAACTTAATTTTTTTTTTCAACATAGAAATTCTTACTTGTCGGCTATAGATAATTAGAGATAATGAAGTTTCCGGGTTTGCTGCCATGCACCTAATATTGAGTCCATCCCCACTTGAAAAAAAATCACTTGAACTCAAATCAGGACCCCTTGTTGGCCACATTGTTAGTCCTCGCCATTCGAACCATTTGTGTGGAAAGTTGATATCAAGCGAGTTCCAATCAAATGATCTATGCTACTTTTTCTTTTGGTGATGGGATAAAAGAAACATCTGTATGCCAGCAAACCTGCAAACATGGAATCCAATGGGGCAGTGATTCTCAACCTGTCTGATTCCACGGCCCACCTTTAGAACCGCAAAGTAATCCGAGAACCACTACAGACTCAAAAGCAGTATACTCATTATCATACATTTAGTGAGCAAGTTTGACTTTGATGTCGCTCACTAACTTCTTGAATATCGGCTCGATGTTGGATATGGGCACACAAGGGGTTGTTCTTACATGAAGTCAGTTTCTCGCCTTTGTTTTCGTAAAGACCATGACGGAAGAGGTTGACTCACAGAGGTTAGTTGATGGGAAAAACAAAAGTTGCCTGACAACTCGCTCAATTTTGAACATTCTTTGCTCTTTACTCAACAAAATAGTTGTTAGTGGTAGATTGGAAATTTATTCTTTCAGGGCTCGATTGCTGATGAGTTAAGTGTAATTGTCTTCCTCCCGTGCAGACAGCTTATTCTCCAGATTCCCACAGTTGGTAAACGGGTCGACCACTCACTTGGAGGCTGTTGGTGGATCGTCTACAGATGGAAAATAATGTTTGAATATCTGAAGAAGCTTTTTCAAATGTTCTAAAATAATATTCCAGTCATTCTTTTTGAAATTTATATTAGATGAAAGGTCTTGGAAACCTGCGAACCTATCGAAAGTGTTAGTGCTGACTCTTTCCTGCTATGCTTGCAGATTTTTCTTAAAGGTCTCAATTTCAGTTGGCATCCCTTACAAAAACAATCCATTGGACCATGCAACTGAACAGTTCAGCTCATTTAATAATCTAAATATGTCCTCCAATCATGCTACCTTGACTAGCCACTCGTGATAGTCAAGTAAGTCTGAATGTGAATATATTTTCTGTCGCAGGAAAATCATGATTTCGTTGCCGAGTTTGTAAATACGAGCCAGTACGGTCGACCAACATTAACGTTCACATGTCTCTTGTTTCTTTCCCATTAAGGCAAGTTCGTTATAACTGTGTCTGAAGGCCAAGTCTAATTTCGTGTGAATTTTTGAGTACTTGAATGAATTCCTAGATACTTTTTTCTTCCCAATATCTACATGTGTAGCAGAAGTGAAGTCTGAATAGCATGATACCTTCCTCACTTTCTTGAGGTAATAGACCGCCAGGATTTCCCTGAAGTCTCTATCTACCGCAAAATGAATATGACGAGGCCAACTTCCAGGTACTGGTAGATTTATTGAGGAAATCGCAATTTTAGAACAAACCAGAAGAATTTATTGAAAAAGGATGTGCTTGCAAGAGGCAAAAAGAACGAGAAATAGGAGCGAAAAGCGCGATGAGAAGCCTCGCAATGCTCCTCCGGCGTTGCAAAAGTCCGAATCGCAAAAGCATACATCCCAGCCATCTGGAAATCCTCCTTCCGGTCCGGTCACGCACCCTGCTGCATTCCATTCGGAGCAATTCACGGTTTGGAGTACATCTGCGGGGTAAAAAAATTGCGTAGAGTTGATCAACTTTGTCAGGGCGTTGCATGAATTTTTCATAAATGCATCGATGGATGAAGTTATTCCCCCTGAGAAAATGTTGATTACTTTAAACCATCATGAAAATCTTTATAAACGCTCCATCTCCCCAAGGTTGAATTGCTCGCCGAACTCAAATTGAACTAACTTTATCCTGGTGGAAAAGGGCGTATTGAAGTTTAATGAACGAATGCCTACTAAAGTATTATTAAAACGTTATTGTGCACATGAAACAATGTGCACGGAGAACAAATCTCTCTTGGAGAAGTTATTGATGACGTGGAATTATGGTCCCGTTTAAACTCATATTCATACCCGTCAAAACTGCGGTTTTCATTCGTCCTAATAATATACTCATCCGTGGTGAAACTTGTCTTATTATTAGGACTGCCCTAGCGTAACAAAGGAAACATCACGTGGGTAATTCCTTAATTTCTCAATAAATGCGAAGTGTGAGGGTTTAATTGCCTGTTTTTAAGGGAATGGCAAGAAAACGTTCAATACAGAATATGAGAAATGCATGAAGACGAATGACAAGACTAGGGCCATAAGAGGTGTTATGGTTGACAATGGACCAACCTGTAGTGGGAGCGTTCAGTAAAGCACGGTGTAAGGAAGCGTGAGGTGACGTAGGGGCGTTACTATCGTCGCATGGGTAAACCCATACCCTATGGAAAAGAAAACGAGCAGGGTTATTGACAGCTAGACGCGTCCAAGTCACCGTGAATTCAAATTGAAAGTAATTATTATCTACTAACCGACAAGAGTGACGAGTCCGAAAAACACATGAAACTTCATGGTGAAAATCTGTAAGAATCGAGTGGTGTACATGCGTGAAAAGCAGGAACAGATACGTACATATCCAGCTACATCTGGTTTCCATCTCCAGTACCACGTGCTATGCGTTTACGTAGATGAAATTGATTTCAAGGAATAAAAATGAATACTAAATAGCAAACTATTTCTTTCACCAGGCTAGGAAAAAAGTGGAAGAGAGGGAAAACCTTCTCTATTCTCATTCCGAGATCTAAACAAAACCAATGGACGGCGTTTTCTATCGAAATGTAAGAACTAAGGTAGAAACACACCTGTTGGTCTGATGAAGTGGAGTGCGAGGGAGATAATCGTCAATAACGTCAATTGTGCTCAGCATGCAAGTGGCCAACTAATTCCGACGGGGCTTATATTTGTCCCATCTGCGAAATGGTGAGATACATGACAATTAGGAGAGGAGGGCTCTTAGATCATAGCCCGCCTCCCTCAGAGGTGAGTGGGCATGGATAAAGGAACTTCTCTAAAACCTCCGAGGTATTAGCTTACAGAACTGCTTTCTGAACGTAGACTCGGAAACGTGGAGTAAACTTGGAGTATACAGTTTACCTAGACTCAACGTGGAAATAGAATATCATCCCCGTGAATTAAACATAGATTTTACAAAGCTTTTTCTCTGTGACTATCTCCAATGACACCATCCTTCGCGGAGATAGTACCTCTAGTTTGACCAATTGCGGAAAAAATTCTCCCACTGCAACTGTGAGGCACTAGAATAATTCACTACCTTATGATAAAACTGACAAATGCAAACTAGCGAAGACTTGCACATATTAAATACTGGTCGCGCCTTCGGCGCTCTATTACCTTGGATAGTGATTAATTCATTTCTTCCTTGCGAAATGGCAAGCACGTATGTAAAGTACGTCCCCATTGAAATACGTGACAGATGGGGACGAAATTCTTGATTTTTATGAGAACCATTACTTCTGTGATTTCTAGAGTGCCTAACATGAAATATTTTCATATGTCCCTTTTTGTAAGTATGGAGAATACATTTTGAAATACTCCACTCTTATGATCTATGCTAATGGAACATATTACAAAAGTAGGATTTTTCCTATACGCATTCATCAAATAGGTACTTTTGAGGGAAGTTTAAATTTTGGGTCTCTGTTTCGTTTGATCAAAAAAAATTCAGGAAAATGGGACTGAAAAAAGGGACCTGATGAGTTTTTAGCGAAAATTGTATTTCTTCTGAAATGTAGACTCAGGGATTTACCATTTTTATATAACTCCTTGGCTCAGATGTCACATTCATGGAAAGTTTCAGCTTTCTATGTTCATCAGTTTTTGACTACGTTTTTTTAATGGCCTTTTGTAGAGGGAAACTTTAAACACCGGGGTTCCGTAAATGAAGATTTCAGACTTGTTTTCTGTAGCATCCCAACTGGTAGTTATGTACCAAGTTTCATCTTTTCACACTATCTCAATACGCCGGGGCAAAAAATACTTGAAAACGTCGGCTCACAAAAATATGCCCCGAGGTCATGAATCTAAAATGTTTAATTTTTCCTGAACTCATCATCTCGGTAGGTACGTACATGCAAAGTTTCAGCTTTCAATGTCTCACCGTTTTACTCAAGCAAAAATAATGTTATTGTGGGGGAATGAGTATTGGGACATGGAAGGCAAAAAAATAAATAAATAAATAAGCCAAGGAATGGTCGGGAATTGTACCCATACCTTCTGATTGGCAGTTAGTGATGCTACAATTACACCACCGTATCCAGGACATCCAATTGTCTCTCTGAATGCCATCCTCATCTGTCACAAAATATTTGTAAGAAATGCGATCCACCCAAAAGCTGTGCTCTGAGGAGATGTCTGAAAAAAGGTTAATTTTCTTTAAATCAACATCCCGTCAGTGATTCGATAGTCTATATATATTAGATAAGAATCACCCAAAAAAAAAGACCCAGAAAACCTCCTACTTAAGAAGTAAATGCCCCGGCGGAACAAATGTGAAAGGGAGATGTTTTCAAATATTTTTTGCACCAGTTAAACTAATGAGCATGAACAGCTGAAATTTTGCATGAATGTGACAACTGAGATAAGGAGTTAAATAAAAATGTTGAGTCTCCATGTATCCCCTGGGGAAAATTTTTTCGAGAGGCGATATTTTGAAAAAAAAAATACTGTTGCGGCAAATTGGACAGATGTGGAAAGGTGAAACTTGGCACACGTATAAGTGACATGATATTACTGAGATGAGGGAGTATTCAGCTGTCATGGGGCATCCCCTCTGGGATTGGCTTTTCGGAGGGTCGATTTTTGTAAACATGTTTATTTTTTCACCAGTGCAAAGGGCAAACGTATAATATTGAAACTTTTTGCGAATGCAGTTCATTGGGTAGACATAGAAAAGTAGCTGGCGCACGCATCACTGACGGGATGTTGATTTAAAGAAAATTAACCTTTTTTCAGACATCTCCTCAGAGCACAGCTTTTGGGTGGATCGCATTTCTTCATACATTTTTTGCCGCCAGCAAAAAGGGTAAACGAATGAGGCTGAAATTGGGTGGCATGGAGTTCCCTGAGTCTGCATTTCAAAAGATAAAAAATTTCCTGAAGCACATGAGGGCACTTATTTCAGTCGCATTTTCCTGATTCTTTTTTTTCATCCAACAAAACAGCGACAGTTAATTTAAACTTCCCCCAGAAGTACCTGTTTGACGGCTGAGTATAGGAAAAATTCAAATTTTGAAATATATTTCCTTAAAGTACATTATTGGAGGGAAGTATTTCAAAATGGATTCTCCACCCTTGCAAAAAGGGATACAAGAAAAGATTTCAAGTTAGGCACACATAAAATTTGTAGAGGTAATGCTTTTTTTAAAAATAAGAATTAAGACTTTCGATCTCATATATCACGTATTTCAATGGGGGAGTCCTTGAAATACGTGTTTCTCATTTCCTAAAAAATGAATTAATTATACAGTATCCAAGGTAATAAGAGCGCCGAAGGTGTGACCATAGCGAGTTTAATAGTCTAATATCTATTATTAGTCTATAATATATAAATAGACGGACTTGACTGACTGACGCTCATTCTAACCATGTTTTAGAAAGATTAGAAATCTGAAACTTGGTATAAATGTAACTTTTGGGATGCAGAGTTCAGAAAAATTCCAACTTTGCTGGTACATGCCCGGGGGTCCACGTTATGGAGGGAAACGTTTTTCTTAAATACATTTTGTGGCTGATGAGGATGGCATTCAGAGAGCCGATTGGATATACTGGGTTCGGGGGTGCAGTAGTAGCATATCCGACCGGCAATCAGAAGGTGCGGGTACCATTCCCGGCCATTACTTGGCTTTTGTTTGGCTTTTTTGCCTTCCAAAGGCACTCCCATAGAGTCCTTCATATTGTTATGAGGGAGGATCGGTGGACGGACGAGTCGAAGGAAGGCATGAGAGGCCGAAAGAAAGCCAAGGAACGGCAGGGAATTGAACCTGGGTCTCCTGATTGCCGGTCAGGTGTGCTACCATTACCACGATGCCATCCTTCCCGTCGCAATATGACGACACACTTAGAATTGTTTTTTTGTGATCCTCATGTTGCAAGTGACATGACGTCACCAAGAATATGTTCTAAGACACCTTTGCTTTAAGGTGCGAGAATTGAACCCATGATCAAAAGAATTTGACTGTATTAATCGGGGCGTGCATCGAAAACGGATGCCTTACATCGAAGAGCGCCGAAGGCGAGTCCATACCCAGTTTGTGTGCCCGAAGGGCAAATAAAGTCGCTAGTAATTAAATATTTGCAAGCCTTAGGCACTTCTAGTTGTAATACACAATTTAAGGTCTGATCATAAGAAGTCAGAAGTCTTTCATGGTGACTGGTAAAATGTCATCATATATGTCCCGTGAAGATAGCTATAGTGAATTTTCTTCGCTGAGCAACCAAACGGTTTGCTAAAGTGGTATAACGAGTTCCTTGGATGCTGTGATGAATTTCCAAGTTCTAAGAAGTCAATCTCCCTGCGGATTACTCAGTAGTAAAGAGGAATCATTCTGATACTTCATATCGGTCTCCTAAACGGAAAATTGTTACCTTCTCTGATTCCATTAAAGGGTTAAAGTAAACTTTCGTCCTCTCTACTGGCATTTGCGGCCGGAATATACACCTTCGTTCTTATATTAATGGGACACATACTGAGTATAAGTTCCAAATTCTCATCAACTTGAAGGGGTGGTGAGACTCCATCTTTGGGGGGGAGGGGGGTAAAGTAAAAATTTTACCTAATCTCTTACTAATTCCATGGACTCACTCACCCTGGAATCTCTTTTTTCTTTCGTATAGAAAAGCACTTGTCCGGTCACAGATTTTCTAGGGTTTTCTAAAAGCTGGATGGAAGAATTGTATCTTGATATTGAACGCTCGGAGGACGGACTTCTGAATTTTTTCCCACATAACCACCCTCGGTTTCCTGACATTCCGTGATCATTCCGATAGCTTCTAAAAGGAATGACAATCGATACAAGACCACTTGACGCGGAGCTCCGTCTGATTGCTACGAGATGACGTCTCCTACAGAAAAAATTAAATCCTTGGGGAGTGAAGATGATCTATAAAGGAATGATTTCGTTGAAAGTTGCATAAGAACAGTCTCT